AAGAGTGCTCCGAGTCGTCGATCGATCGGTCCGAGACACCCACGATGGCTTCCAGACAATACCCCCGAAGAGGCCATCAAGAGGCATCCCAAGAGAGCCCCAAGAGGGCCCCGAGAGGACAAAATCGTAAATTGTACGATGGTGTTTGAAAGATGTTGGTCTTCTCGCCTTTTCGGCTTTCCAACGCTCCAAGACGGCCCAAGAGGCCCCCAAGACCGCCCCAAGACAGCCCAAGAAGCCGCCAAGAGGGCCCCAAGACCGCCACAAGATGGACCCAAGACAGCCCAAGAGGCGCCCCAAAACAGCCCCAAGAGGGCCCCAAAACAGCCCCAAGAGGGCCCCAAAACAGCCCCAAGAGGGACCAGGAACCGAAAAGTCCAGCCTTCAGCCCCAAGAGGCCCCCAAGAGGCCCCAAGAGGCCCCCAAGAGGCCCCCAAGAGGCCCCAAGAGGCTCCCAAGAGGCCCCAAGGGGCCCCCAAGAGGCCCCAAGGGGCCCCAAGAGGCCCCCCAAATGCTCCAAGAGGCCCCACGGCCCCCAAGAGGCCCCAACACGGCCCCTATGAGGCCTCCAAATTGCCTCCCAAAGGCCCCCGAGAGGCCAACCACGACAGCCCAACCAACATCCATGAGGCCTCTGACCCACCACCCACCGCCTCCGAAAAATGGCAGCCGCCAAACGGCACCGCATTGACAACAACACCCCGACAAACGACAGCGGCGAGGCAAAATGGGCTGGCGGAATGAGCGAAGCGATTAGATATAAGCCAATTAGAAATAGGAATAGGAGGCGAGACCGATAGCAGTGGTGTAAATACAAGCTGCGATTCGGACGGGCTTGTGAACATGCACACATCCAGTGCACATGTCCTGACACGGAAGCTGGCTGACATCGCAAAATCGAGTGGCGGCAACACTGAGGAAGAGAGAGAGAGAGAGAGAGAACGAGAGAGACAGAGAGACAACGACGAACGCGCTGTCGGGCAGGTGCGCGGTCAACGACGGTGCGGGACGAGAAGAAGGCTCTGGAACGAGGAAGCGGCGGAGGGAGCATGAGCGGGGCGCAGACGTGGCTGCCCATGGATCTTCGCCACGCTCCCTCCTCATCCCCACACCGCAGGCCTGACTGCCAGGTCTGTCCACGTGCAGCAGCTGGGAGAAGTCCTCCTGCAGGTCAATCGCGTCCTCGACACGCAACAGCTCCACCTCTCGTGCAAACCATGGGCGGACTGCGCGCGCGGCCGCCTGGCACGTCGATGAGCGGAATGCCGCACGCACCGGCATGCCACAAATGCCCACGCATCTGAGCGCCGAGAAAAACACGGCGGTCGGAGCTTATCTCATAAGATATAGGGCCTCCGCGACAACGTTTCGGGCCCTGTGGGCCACAACAAGTACTTCCAGGGCGCGAGATCAGTACGACTGTTGGAAGCCCCGCAGTTTGAAACCATCAGGGCATCTGAGGTATGGGTAGCTGTCCGAGCGTGGACTTGAGGCGCGAGCAAAGACCCTATACTTCGATGGAGCGTAGACGTCTGCACTGGCTCATCTGAGGGGGAAGCACAACAAGTGGCAAAGGCGGAGTTGGAGAAAAATGCCTGTTTCTCTGGGTCTCTGGGTAGACGGCTCCAATGAACGACACTCACGGAAGCAAACCAAAATAGCCTAAAGGTGGCATCTGGAAGCTCCAAAAAACCCCAAGAGGCTCGGATCCTAGATGACCCAACGAAACAACATGGCACGAGGTGCGATGTGGAACAAATGACAACTAGAAACGCCCAGGTATACTAGCATGTTCATTCGGAGTTCCCCCTATCCTTTGACATTGTGCGACGTGCGAACCACTGCAATACTAATCATTTGCCCGATCACGAAATCAAATGTTTCGCGACTGCCCAGCTCCTCAGCTAGCGCGACTCGCACTTGGTGGAATGATTCAAAATGTCTCGCTCCCTTTTTGGCTATGTGCCCCATTTGCAATGCAAGATCCCGAGCGCGCACTTCCGTCAGCCTGGCTGATCAGTCAAACTTAATTATTGCTACCGCCTACTTGTTCCTCATACTGCTGCTGCTGCTGCTGCTGCTGCTGCTGCTGCTGCTGCTGCTGCTGCTGCTGCTCTTGGTCATCCTGAGTCTGCGTGTCCTCCCGCCATCCCCCGTTCTCATAGAACCGCCAAGCACTTTCTAGGACCTCCTCATTATCGCTCACAAGTATCGGTGCCCTCCTTCCCACAATGGACAAAGAAACTCACCACCATCACCACCACTTGGGCGGGTGTAGGACTTACTGATGTGGGATGCGGGTGACCAAGATGCCCGCGAAAACGCCAGCAAGCGATTACACCAGCAGAAGGGCCCTAAACACCAAGCCTGCCTGATAAGACACATGGTCGGCAGGGCCCGGCACGTCAATTGTTTCGCGTCTTGAGAACCAGGCACGGCACGGCACGGTACGGCAATTTCATCTCATTACACACTGTCTGAACACCGAAACCAGCACGGCACGGCACAGCAAATTGGCCACGCTCTCGAAGCTAAACACTGCACTGCACGGCACTGCACGCGGGCACGGCACTGCACGTCACGGCAACTGTCGCAGTCTGGAAACCAAGAACGGCACTGCACGCGGGCAAACAGGCACAAAACGGCATGGCAACCTTCTCTTGGCGGCGAGCGCGGAAGGGAAATGATTATCCCGGCAAAGCAACCTAACAGCCATGTGTAGGAGCATATCTGGAAGCATTCCCCTTAAGATTCGGATGAGAATCCAGTTGTAGAATTCTGCTGTTCTCGCAGTCGTAGTCGCATTCGCGAGGACAGTCGCAGTGGCAACGGCAGTCGCAGTCACAGCCTCAGCCTCAGCCTCCTCAGCCTCAGCCTCAGCCTGCCTCAGCCTCAGCCTGCCTCAGCCTCAGCCTCAGCCTGCTTCAGCCTCAGCATCAGTCTGCCTTCGGCCTCGGCCTCAGCCTCAGCCTGCCTCAGCCTCAGCCTGCATCAGCCTCAGCCTCAGCCTCAGCCTGCCTCAGCATCAGCCTGCCTCAGCCTCAGCCTCAGCCTCAGCCTGCCTCTGCCTCAGCCTCAGCCTGCTTCAGCCTCAGCCTCAGTCTGCCGTCGGCCTCGGCCTCAGCCTCAGCCTGCCTCAGCCTCAGCCTGCATCAGCCTCAGCCTCAGCACGAAGCGACCCAGCTAGAAGGACAAAGCGCTGAATGTACACCGATGTGTTCGACGACTGCGTATGTAATGATGTGACGATATACAGACTGAGCCCTTCGTGAATGTCTACATGTTTTTCTGACGCCTACAAACGGCGCTGACGTGTGTGAGAAAATTGTCCGCGCAGCAAAAGCCGGCGAAGCGTGCGGGAGCTCGCATGCCGAGACAGACTACGTCTGCAGACCGCCAGCTGCAAAAGGTTGCGAGCGGCTCTTGGAAGATGTTTACGGAACGGAGCTACGGTGTCTGAAAACATTGGCATCGAAGCGAAGAGCCTCGGAGCCCTGCAACCTGAGAAACACCGCAGGAACTCGCATACTGAAAAGGAATGCATTGCAAACCGCACGCTGCGAACCCTGCAGGCTGAGAAGCACCGCAGGATGTCGCATGCTGAAAAGCACTTGTACTGCAGAGCGCTAGCACTCCATCTCGGGCTCGGACCCCCCCGTCCTGATCCAGAACGTGTCCGGCCACGGCCTGAAAATGCCGTTCCAACTCCCGAGGATCAGCTGGCACTCCGGCTCTGGGACACTCCAGTACGTCTTGAGCACCTTGAGCCAGGCCCCATCTCGGGATCCCCACAGCACGCTGTACTTGACCGAGACCGTGCCGAACTCATAACAATTGACCTCCGAAAGACCTGCGATGCGGTGGTTCTGAGCCAGGACGAGGTCCGCATGGTCGAGCGTCGGCACCGTACGCCCATGCCCAGACGGACCATCCACGGCGAGCCACATCATCTGAGACAGCGTCTGGAGGGCGGTCGACAGGCGACTGGCGACTGGCGACGACGAGCTGGTCTTGGACTGTCAGGAACGCTACACGACCAAAAGAAAACGACGCACGACCGAGGAAACACCAGAGCTCCTAGCTGGGAGGCGAGATCAAGGGGGACGAGGAAGAAGGGAAGAGGAGGAGGAGGAAGAGTCAGAGCAAGAGTAACGGTGAGAGTAAGAGTCAGAGTAAGAGTAAGGCGAACTGCACGAGTCGGAGTAAGAGTCAGGGCAAGAGGCCCCCCAAGCGGCCCCAAGAGGCCCCCAAGAGGCCCCCAAGAGGCCCCCAAGAGGCCCCAAGAGGCCCCAAGAGGCCCCCAAGAGGCCCCCAAGAGGCCCCCAAGAGGCCCCCAAGAGGCCCCACGAGGCTCCAAGAGGCCCTCCAAGGGCTGGTGGTACTCGGCTTTTAATCATGTGGTGGGAGGGCGGAACGCGAGGGCTTACGGCCGCCCTTCGGGTTTGATCACTGCTCCTTATCAATCCCACCAGCCCTTAGGGAGCCCGCTCTGTTCTCAACCCCCCTTCTTCCCCTTCGGGGAGGGGTTTACCCCTCCCCCTACCCCCTCCCCCTGGGCCTGGAGAGGGCGCCCCGCGGGTCGTTTGAGGGGTCTTTTTCGACTCCTGGGAGGGCTAAAAAAACGACGACCCTCGCGAGGATTCTGGCCCCGACGGGGGGGCACCGTCTGGTCCCCCTCCTCTTCTTTAAAGCCAGAATCATTGATTGTACTACGGTTTTGGCCCCATTTCGGCGTCCTGAGGGGGCCGCGCTCATCTTCCTTCACAGCAAAATCATTGATTTTACGAAGGTTTTCGGCTCATTTTGTCCTTCTCAAGGGGCAGCTCTCATTTGCGCTTTTGAGGAGGTCGCAAGAGGCCCCAAGATGGCCCCAAGAGGCCCCCAGGAGGCTCCCAAGAGGCCTCCAAGAGGCCCCCAAGAGGCCCCCAAGCGGCCCCAAGAGGCCCCCAAGAGGCCCCCAAGAGGCCCCCAAGAGGCCCCAAGAGGCCCCAAGAGGCCCCCAAGAGGCCCCAAGAGGGTGAGAAGCACCGCAGGAACTCGCATGCTTTCGAACACTACTGCTCGAGACCGCAGCTGGAGAGCGGCAGACCGCAGGCTGAGAAGCACCGCGGGCAGGGAGACTTGCAAAACTCAGATGTCCTGATCGTCTTGGAGGAAGTCACGCCAGTCCGGCGGCTGCCAAGAATCGATGATGCTCCTGGAGCCACCGCCCGTGCTGCCGCCGATGTCCAGGTAGTCGCCATCGGCCCTGAACAGACGGCCGTGCCCCCACGCCAGAATCGCTTGGTTGCGGATTTGAAGCAGCGCTCCGCTCTCAAACATCTGCAACACGTCCAGCTGCCTGCGCGTGAAGTTCGGCTTTGGCTGGCCAGCCTGGGCAGACAGATGGCGGGAAAGCCGCTCCCCACGTTGTAGCGCGCGATGGCCTCGGCCTTCTGGTGGTGCAGCCGGCGCCGCTGTTGCCGCAGAGCTTCCTCGGGAACTGCTGCATCACGGCCCTCGCTGTGATCAGCTTGCAACGCTTGCGTTAGCCAATCAACGTCGAAGCGACCTGAGAAGGCCAGCACCTCCCAGATCTGTTTGGTACCGGCCACACGTTGCAAATGGCGATGCCACCGCTTACGCTTCTGGTCTTTCACAAACTTGGCGACGCCACCCAGACCTGCACCCTTGGCCTGGCCACCTTTTCCCGCAGGCTGAGAAGCACCGCGAGAACCTTTCTTACCGCCTGGCCCTTTGTTCGGACCCTGCGGAACCGCATGGCCCCCTTGTGGCGCAGACTTGCCTTTCGCTTTTCCCTTTTCGAAATCCCGTTCCTGAAGCGCACGCTGCTGCCGCGACTGCTCGTACTGGTCGCGAGCTACTCTGACCAATTCCTGGCGCTCAGGCTCCGTGAGAACGTAGCGCATGTCGTCGATGTTCTTGCTCCGCAGAAAGTCATGTCGAAGCTTCAGGACAGAGAGAATGGCTCGGCCAGTCTCCTCCTGAGACGCCAAGGCCGCGTCATATTCCGAGCCAGGCTGAGGAGCGCCAGCTGGATTAGTGTCCGCTGGCTCCGTGGACTTCCTCTTTTTGAAAAGCAAGAGACTGAGATGATGGAGGACTTTCGGATCGTACTCCTCGTCGTACCTGTCGTCCCAAAGCTGCCTCAGCTCCCTGTGCAAGTCGTTCGCGCGATTCTGAACGACATCCTCGACGTAGTC